TTGCATTTCCAAAAATTGAGTTCGTCGGAAATGAAAATAGCACCAATATTTTTACCATCCTCTTATACATGCAAGGAGCAAAGTAAAAAAAAAATAGTATGCCATTTTTAAGAAACAAAATGTTTTACAAAAATTAAAGATGCCTATTATTTCTGCAAAACTATTCAAATTTCTAAAAGTTGTACATGCCATTGTTTCAAAATCTATCTTTAAAGAATAAATTTCATTAACATACATAGTAACAGTAACGTATAAATAATAGAATTTACTTGTGATTCAAATTAAGTAATTTCTGTTGTTTAGAGAGATAAATTGTGTTTATGAATTTGGAGGAAGAGGGAACTTTTGTTTTGAGCCCTCCGCGGATCCGCCAATGACCAACTCCTATACGTAAAAGGCCTTGTTTTCTCTCGACCCCTTGGATCTGTTTACCTGATGACGTGAATAGCACCTTACACGAAACGTCGAGTAACCCCTTACATGATTTTTCAAATACAATAAAATAAACAAAAGATTTTACTTGACTTTTAACGAAAATGGTACTTCTGTTTTTAATACGTATGCGCGGAGAAGGCGAGTACGTAAAAATGTCTCGATGTAGGAGGGCATCATTGTAGGAGAGCTGCATCATTTTGACGAACGTTCTCTATTCAATCAAAAAAAGGTAAGTAAGTTTAAGAAGTTTATTATGAAAGTTGATCGGGCAAGCACAAAATACAGAATTATAAAGGAAGTAGTTAACATTAAAATCCCGGTGACTTTAGAGCATTCTAAGCATGAGTAACTTAAAGTTCTGGTAACAAAGTAAAATGTATATTACATTTTTTCAAACAAAACACAAAAGTAGAAAAAGAAATAGTTTATTAACAGAAAGAAAGTCCATTCTTAGTTGAACAATAATAGCTCTTCGTTTTTACAGTTGTTTCCAGCTACTTACAGTAGATTTCTCATCGATTGTAGGAAGTCTATTTTTTTCTACTGCATGCCTGTTTGAAAGGATGTTTCTTGCTGAAGCGTGTGTGCTAATATAACTTACTGTGCCACTACCACCACCACCGCCACCAACTCCTCCTCCACCGCCGCCGCCGCCTCCGGCGCCTCCTCCACCACCAACACCGCCACCACCACCAGTATCACTCATAGATTTACTAGCTGTTGTTAAAGTGGCTGCAGTCTTCTTCACCACAATTGGAGGTAAGCGAAGAAAACTTGCTGGAGGCACATTAGGTAGCACACCTCTGCAAAGTGAAAAAAACATGACCCGATCACATTAAAACGAGATTATTTATTTATTTAATCTAAAAAACAGTTAAAACCTGGATGACGTACTTTGCGGAGAAGTGCCATATGTGCATGGTTTCTTGAGCTCTGGAATGTCTGTTCTAACATGCGTAGATAAGTTCAATTATGAATACATATAGCACAGAGCGTTTTCGGTAAGAATTGATATGAAAATATTAAATAAAATATCCATGTAAGAAAAACCTTATAATAAAAACTATTTGCAAAGGAAAATCAGATACAAATTAAGGCGAGTGCTTTACGTAAAAGAATCGACATACTGTGGCGATGAAATGGAAAACTATTATTCGAATATCTACATTCTTGAAAGAGCTCAAGAAAACGTACACGTATAGTGATGCTACACTTATATCCAGAAGAAAATCAAGAGGTAATCTCAGCATCTGCTCATAAGATCAGGGAAACTGTACGAAAAGCCTGATCGAGATGGGAATCATTGACCCAGAAGTTCCGGTACAATACTTCTTAGAGGCATTTTATTTTAGTCTTTTAGACTTGTATAGTCTAAATGGCAATTGATACATTAGAGATCATTATTAAAAAAGTCTTATTTTCCTTTTTATCCTTAGTATAGTCTCTAATTGTTTTTTGAGTAGCGAGTTACTAGAAATTAGCACAAATAGTTTTTTCTCTTATAAAAGTTATATTTTAATGTAATTAGAAAAACTGAAAAAATTGAGTATAATTTTGTACGAACGTTTATTACAAAAAATTGAAATTACCATTTCACGCGGCGTTGCCATACGACGCAGTGATTGTATTTGAGATGTTTTTTTCGAAAAGTTCATTGTTGGTGATATGAATAGTTGGGATTTAATATAAGGCGGCTTTATATATAAATATACACATAAGATAATGATATTGTAGTTGCGAATGTGTTGGAAATAATAAAAAATGTTTATAATAGTATTCGTTTATTTACTGTTTCATTTTTTTTTCAACGTGTAACGTACAACGTTAAAACAGCATTTGAAAGCGAGTTGGCAGCAAAAATTAAACGTTTTAGCGAGCTTTCTGCTTTACTGCTCTCCGGAGTATCTATAACTGTTTAATTTCTTAATTAATTATGAAGAGTCTAATTATGGTTGTGTTTGGTTGTAAGTCTTCATTTAAAAGAAACCGAAACATTTAATAATGAACTTCGAATATCTTGGAGACACTGCGGAAAATCATTTTATGTATTCGATGCAAGCAATAGAGTTCTACAAAGAACGTTTTATAAAAACTTTCATAAAACCACAACAATGGAAACTGAAAAACAATTCAATTTGTGGCATTTTTAGCTAGAATTTATAAGAAAATATGTGTCCATTGTTGGCAGCGCTCATTGCAGATGTTTTGGTATTGACCGCCGGACCAACAAAAATGCAATACAATGTTCATGAAGATCTTATCCTGAAGATTAAGGTGTGAGCAACGTGTCTTTGAGGACTTTGACCTCACAATTTTTGCTTTTAATAACTTAGTACGCTTCGTTTGGGAGTTATTTAATGTTACAGAGTCAAAACTCGTGTGTGTTGCAAGGAATAAGGATATCACTCTAAAACAAAAACTAACTTTGTCCATGAGTAGTGCCTTTACATGTCATGCTTGTAAAATAAGTATTTTTAGTTAAATCGGTTCTAACAGACGGATTTACACGCAGATAAATTTATTTGACAATATATTTAACTTTAAAATAGCCCGAGTAACATCCGTCCGTTCGTTCGTCATTCATGTTAGTACAATTCCGATAGAATTCAACTATTTTTGAGCGAATGCTATTGCAGGAGTATCAGACGTCCCTCGGTTCAACCATGAACGCTGTACGATAGCACCGCCCCTCCGTCGTCTTTCTGTTCTATCAGCGCTATTACGGCCTTGTTCTTCACATGCCGCAATCGCACCCTCGCTCTCGTCCCCAGCTCAGCATTAGTTAACATTACCACGTTCCCCAACTCGTCCTGTCCTGCTCGACGCCAACCCGGCTCACACAGCGATGGCCAGCAACAATGAAGTTCGTGTGGATGGCAGTTTGAATGGAAATTAATGAAAATCAGCAAAAATGTAAAGATATCATCCTGTAGATTACGGTGTCAGAAATGTTTGAGGCCATTGGCCTCCATATTTTAGTTTTAATATAACGCTTTGTTTAGGACTTATTTAACGATATGTAGTAAAAAAGCTTGCAGTGTGATGCGGGTTGCATTTAACATGAATATGTAGTTTTTATTTTTGTCGTCAATTTTCTCGATATTTTAATAGTTATTCTGCTATTCCGGGGTGAATCCAACAAAACAGATTATTAAAATTGATTCAGCCGTTCTTGAGTTATAAATGGTTTAACCATCACAACGTTGTTACATACACACACACACACGCACACAACACACACACACACACACACACACACACATATATATATATATATATATATATATATATATATATATATATATATATAAGTCACTGCATATGCACAACTGATCCCTACTTCGTTATGGTAGCAACGTGTTTATAGGCTGGCAAGGCTGTGAGAACGCAAGAATGTGCGTTGAATGTTCTTTGCCAAAGCGATTGTGCTTCTCAAGGGTTTCGAATTGTTTTGTAAACATAAGCGGTGAAAAACGCAACTATTACTGGGTTTTAGAAAGATTCTATTTATAAAATCTTTAAACGTCAAAGCAGTAACTCCTTATTTAAATAACCATAAAAACAAAACTACGCTCCCCACCCACCCGTGGTATGCGACTGTTAATTTTAATTGGAAATAAGTCAACTGATCTGACTATACTTTCAATGTAACAATATGATTATACAACATTTAATTTCACCACTTCGTTTACCACTGCGTCAATATCTCTTGTACTAAAATAACACAAGTTTTCAGAATTCTATATCTGCAACAAATAATTTGAACCTAATAAATCTGCCAGACTGACCTTCCTAAAGAAGTTCTTGTGCCCCCCACACTTGCTTCAAGGGTTGGCAGTGATGTAATTGTGCCAGGTCCTCGCCGAGCTGGAAGAGTCTTCTGAGAACCATGGCGTACAGGAATTTTGGGGAGATGAAACTGATTTTTACTTGAATGAGCATCAGCCTGCAAAATCCATTGAATATTAAATATATTACAAAATTATTTCATGTACAGAATATATTGCATATAGAAGAAAATAAAAATAATATAATTATTTATAAAATAAAGTAAATCCAGTGGAAGATTTCACATTTTCACTTGTAACCACTTCTCATACATTTATAAACTTGATTTAGACAATTACAGGAAAAAAAAAAAATGATGCTACAAAAGAGAAACACTTGATTAAAGGTAAAAGTTTAAATTGGGTTTGAAAAAAAAATTCAATTTTTTGTGATAAATATCAAATCTATGTTATTATTGCTGCAACAATGCACTTATCTTCTAGCACAACTGAAGCATGTATTTAATAACTTTCACACTTGATTGATGTTTCTGGGGAGTCAGCTGCTAGTCTTTGTGTGTTGCGCATTCCATATCTCGGCAAGGGGCGGTATTTCTCCCCATGAAACGTGATATCCGGAGCCGACCTACACATACTCTTGCAGTGTTTCCTCCCTCCAGGTCTCTCCCGTTCATCGGGAGAAGTTCAAGTTCTAAGCCCCCGACTGGTCTCCCAACTCGTGCGGTCAGCAGTGCATTTAAGTGTATGGGGAGAGGAATCTGAGTAGCTAACTGCTAGAATTTCCTCCAGACAATAAGCGATTTATCTAGACTTGAAAAATCTGCATCAATTGGAATTTGAACTTATCAAGTATGCAAAATACAAAGTCTTATGTATTTTACTACAGAATAATATATTTATAACTTAAAATATTTAGCCTATTTTCTATTTATCAATAAAATTATAACTAAAATATTTAGCCACGTTTCTATTTATTAACAATTATTGCCACATTATAATTATAATAAGAGCTCGTCTTGAGCGCTAAAGTGGCTAGGAGCATTTTCCAAGTAAAAGAACGTTAATGTGAGTCCCTTCAAAATCATCCTTTGTACTGAGGAAGGCAAAGGCAAACTTACTGTATTCACCTGCCCAGGGAAGGGGAGGTCTCAAAGGAGTGACCTAAGCCTCCTTTCCTGTCCATTAGTCCAGTCAAATTAGACAAATCGAGTGAAAAAATCACTGGGTTTTGAAACTTGCGTGATTATTTATTAGTACCTACCGCACATTTTACTAAAAATCCTGAAGTATGGGGGTTGAGCCGAAGGGGGGAGGGGGGGCTCGATGAAGGATGAGTTTCCGGGTTTCTTGCATGTATCTCCATAACTATCTATCCTAACGAAACCTATATTCCGTACAAAATTAAAGTAGATAAACGTTTCTACAAAAAGTATACTATAAGATTTTGTTGTAAAATTAATCCTTACCGATTAAAGTTACCGACATCCAGGAGTTCTTGTTTTTATTTACAAGGTCCTTCTTTCTAGGTATCCCTCATATAAAAATGATATTATGATATGTTTAGTCCACGTAAGTCATTTAATTTTTGTTCTACATTTTTCAACAACACAAATTTGCATATTTCGCGCAAAAAATTCATCTTATGAAATCATTTTGTACATACTTCCGACTGCGAGTATCGGAGGTTATTGGGTCCGAGATTACCTTGGGTGCAACAACTAGTTTATTTGATAAGGATCGAGTGCAAATATTTGCTAAATGATTGTGTCAACATAAATTACATAAAAAAATATATTACGAGAAGAAAATGGCACACCCACGTTTACCACCTACAGAGGAACTACTAAAACAGTGTCAATGACGAAGAACACATTCAGTGTTTGAGGGAGGGGATGAAATGATTACAGAGTTTGGGTGAGCCCCATTATTCCTACTTTCTAGTGAGCATGAAACGAGTAGCAGCCAAAAAGTGTTCCGAAATTATTGAATTCCGGCCAAAAGCCGTGTAGAATAAACATTCCTCAGAAGATGCTGAATGAAACCAAGGATCCTGAATTGCTCATACGGGTCTCAAGTGGCGAAGGAACATTGATTATTCTTGTATGTAATTTATGATGACTATGCACGCAATACAATTTCAAATATTTGCACTCGTTTCTTATCAAATAAACTATAGATTATCAGTTTTCAAACCTGAGGTAATCTCGGATCCAGTAACCTCCGAAACTCGCAAGTATGTACAAAAAATTAATATAATTTTTTGCGCAAAGTAGGCAAATTTATGTTGTTGACAAATGTCTATCAAAAATAAAATATTACCCTCCCGTGCGTTGAACATACCATAACATCATTTTTGTAAGGCAGATGTCTACAAAAAAGGGCCTTGTAATTAAAAATAAGAATTTCTCGAGCCTGTAACTTTAAAAGAGTTAATTTTCAACAAAATAATATAGGTCTTTTTGTAGAAAATTGTATCTACTTTAATTCTGTATAGAACAGTTTTCTTTAGGATTGATAGTTGTGATTATACATACAAAAAACGCAGAAAACCCACCTTTAAACGGGCCCCCAACCTTCAGATCATCCACCACACTTTAGGATTTTTAGTAAAATGTGCGGTACAGATGCCAGCAAACAATCACGCCAAGTTTCAAAACTCCGGGATTTTTTCCCCTTCGATCACCGTTTTCTTGAGTTCCAGAATCCATTCCCATCATTAAGATATACCTTCCCATTAAGGCATTACTTTGATGTTTTATAGATGTGCGTTATTTGTGAAGAATTACTACAGTATCACTGTGATAATAATTCTAGAATAATTTAATATTAAATAAAGTTGGTAAACCTTGAAGAAATTAATATTTGGTTTTTAGTTTATCCAAGATTTATTAACATAAAAGGAAATAATTTTCCTCTTAACTGTCTCTATAATTTCATGTATTAAGTATTTTTTTTAAATCAAGAGGTGATAAATATATGATGATATTAATATTTTTAATGTTGCTCATTTATTAATACAGTAAAACCCCACTTTTACGTGCCCGCAATTTACGTTTTCCCGGAAGTTACTAAGTTTTGTTGTCGGTGTTCTTACAAATTAATGGTTTTTGTTCGGAAATTAATAGTTAATGTTGCTCGCTTGACGTACGGTACAAATAACGACTTAAGGTCTAGTTCGTGTATATCGTGTCTATACACGTAGGCTTCCGCGGCTCGAGTCCATTACTTCTAGGCTGTCCGGGCAGCCTAGAAGTATATCGTATCTATACCAATAACGCCAACATAATACTTTTCACTATGAACTAACTTAATCTGACTTATCAAAAAACAAATCCCAACTTAATAGTTTGACTTGATTTTCTTTAACTTACAAATGACACATAAGTCTCATCGGTTTTCGTACATTCACAATGTTATAAATACTCCAGTTTCTGTCAGTACAATTTCAATTTTCCCGCAATTTACAACAGGCTGCCCGACACAACACGGTCTGGAAAGCACTTCGCGTCGCGCACAAAGCGCACTATCACTGTACTTTCTCGCTACCTCCCCGCTTTAAAAATGGCCATAACAGAAAAACTATTGAAATTGTGCGATATTATAGTTTTATAAAATGTTACATAAATACTATGATTTTCGAATTCAGTGAAAACTATTACTGAGCAGCTGCCTGTCTAAACCGGAACCAGTATTAGTCGCAAACCTGCCTTAACCAAATGTAACCGGCCCGTGAATATACATATCATTTTACACAGCATAAAACGCAACCTGTCCAACGCGGAAACGGAATGTTTTTGCATGTCCTGCAGGAAAAAATCTTTATGAAAAGGAATTCCTGTGAATTTAATGCTATTGGCAGAGAGGCACGAGATGTTCTTAATGAAATAAATGCATCTGGAAGTCTGTTTTAAATTCTCTATCTCTGTTACACGCCATTTAGTCGGGACAGGCGCACTGTGAAGGAGAGGGGCTTCAGCTTTTAGCCGTAGAATTCGACCTTAGGGTCGCTTGTCTCTCAAGGCATCGCAAATCAGTGCGCGACGGTCCTGTTTCCCGCCCTGATACCAATTCATTTTACCGCTTTCAAAAGGAATACTGAAGTGTTATTATAGATTTATTAAATAATAAAAAATATCTATGTAGAATATAAAATAAGGCACTTTTCAAACTTGCAAAATTTTTCATGAAACTCTCTAATTAAATATTGTTGCCGATTTCCCGTTTAATTGGTAATTATTATTAATTAGTACATTAGCAGTCGCTAGCCGAATTTATTAATTATGCTCTGTGAAGTCACGGAGATTAAGAATTCGAGACTTCGCGAATTATGGTTGGGTGACGTCTAGAAACCCTGAGATCTAACAGCAGACCTTGGCCAAACGGATAAAAGGCACTGGGTGAATGCGACGTGACGAGTCTTGACAAAAATAATAAGGGAGGATTACTCCACGCCAGAAAGGGTTCAGAAATGCGTTGCGTAGACGCGCTGCGTAGACGCAACAAATGTTTTAAACAATTCAGAAAATTCAAGAAAATGAGACTTGCACCATGTTAATTATTCTTTACTCTATCTTAGAAAAATAATGCGGCTGTTTTTGGGAAGATTTTTATAAAATGCAGCAACTTCAATCAGAAATTACATGAAAACTACTAGTTTTTTTTAAAAAAAACTGACCTTTAAACTTATGACCTTTAAAAATCTAGTTTAGAGAAGTGATTTAATTTAAAACAAAAATCTCTATTATCAACATTGTCGTTTTGCAATTTTCGATACTACAGAAAGTTTGATTTTGCAATGTGCACCGGTTGCGAAAATAGGACCAGCACCATTTTTAACCTTCCTTTGCCTCGTGCGAGGAAAACAGTGAATTCAAACAATGGTATTTGAGAAAATGGTATTTTAAGCAAAATTACGTGAAAGTTGGTCACAGTTTTTGATAATTGTACTTGACCATATTTCAAGACCTATCTTTCAGCATGATTTAACTAAAAAAATCTGTCTTCAATATTGTAGTTGTAGAAAGTTGCCAAAAAAATGTCGAACTTCATTTCATGAAAAATCAGGAACTTCAACGAAAATGACATTGCGCCGTTCTTTTAAGAGTCCTCTTCCCAAGGACAGTGTTTCATAAACTAAAGGTGCTAGCACAGCACATGAATGAAAATAGTTACTTAGTATTAACATATTGTAATTTCTGTCGTACTAAAATCTCAGTTATAACTTGAAAAGGTCTAATTCAAACGATTCGCCTCTCGTGCTCATCTGCAGTTATTTTCATTGTGAGGAAGAATAGGCATTTGTTACTTATAGAAATGAAACGAAAATGAATAAATTTAAATGAGAAAAAGATTTTTGGTAAATTTCAATCGCAAATTACGCAAAAACTGTTTTTCCCTAGAAACTGTATTTCACCATTTTTAAAGAGCTAATTTTCAACAACTCTTTATCTTCAATCTCTTATCTCGCTCTTATCCTCGCACGTTTTCTTGAGCCTTCATTTAGCTAGATGCAAAAGTGGGGAGGTTGGTATTTCGTCAACAGATCTATAATATCAAATCTGTAGCTCGTTTTATGATGCAAAATATTTTCTATTACATGGGAGAAAACATTTCTTGTTGTCAGATTTTGTCAACAACGCTTGTTGCTTTAATTTATTGCTAATTCAACAAATATTAGTAAAGGAGTTGGGGTAGGTGTTCTGGGGCTCGAGAAAACTTGCATGTACAATACCATTGTCACTACTTACTTTTATTATTAATATCATTCAATATGGATTGCATTGTTGAATTGTATTATCAATATATAACAATCTCTATGATTCATTAATTAATTCAATTTTGGTGTGTTTCAAGATCTAAATTTTTAGAAATCAAACACTGTGAACCTGTATCTATTGGAATCAATTACTACATCTTCCAAAGTACAATATTTAAAGAACATAAATTATAACTAATGAAAACAACTTCTATTTTTTGATTTTTCTTAACTTAATTGTGAAATTATTTTTAGCTGAGTAAGAACTATCTTACATGTGTGTAAACACTTATCAAAAAAATGTTGAGTCTTCTTTCACATACCATTGCATTGATCTTCTTACTTCCACTATAAGTAGTATTGAAACTGGATTTAGATGCCAAAGTATTGCTGCTAATGGCAGCAGTCCAGGTCTTCTCAACTTGATATTTTGTGGACTGTGAATGATAAGGTTGAGGAGGAGCAGGCTGTTGCCCTTGAATTCGTTGATGTGAAATATCTTCTTTCTTATGCTGAGTTAACTTGGGGTTTGAGGCTTGTGCAATGGTTATTTGCTCTATATTTTCAGACCGTTGATTGGGACTTGATACTACTCTTGCCACTTTCTGATTGTCTGTTGATCGCTGAGTTGTTGCAGTGCGCTTCAGTGAAGGAAAACAGTGTTAACATTGTCAACAAAACAGATGTGCTTTATATGTTAATCTTGATAACTCAAATATTACATATGTAACTTGAACAGAGAAACACACCTTTGATTTTCTTCGTTTCTCGTTGCTGGCTACATTAATTAGTGCTTGATTTTGCCACTCAGGATTGCTTTGTGATGTGGGTGTTTGAGTAACTGACCATGAATGTCTTTGGGTCATTGATTCTTGCTCTCTGTTGAGTATTGATGTAATAATATTCATGAAATTGAAAATAAGATTATAAATTTTAGATATCGCCTGTTGGGAAACATAATTGTGCAAGTGTGAAATTTGTCATCTAAAGGAAATAGCATTTCAAAGATCTGCATAACATTATAAAATTATACAGGATAACAAATTGTTTTATCAATTTTCAAAGCAAGGAGTTGAGATGTATTCTTTTGCCCTTTTCAACTCTTGATCTTTTGAAAAAGGATTCATTTAGGTGCCATTTAATTGCCTCAACAGGAAAATTGAATTTTTGAACTTTTGTGATTCTCAACAGGCAATATGACCAAGAAAATTTCCTAAAAATAATCAATTTCAGAAATGAATTGACTAAGATGGAAGACACAAATAATTAACCTGAGGTCATTAAAATATCGATGCTCCAACAGTCTTCGAACATTAGGCCTTGTTTCTGGATCATACACTAGCATTTGCTTCAGAATATCTTTTCCTCCATCACTTACATTAGGTAATAATGCACTTATACCAGTGCCTGGTCTGGATGGAAAGAAGAACTCGCAGTTCCGGGATTTACTGTGCAGATCAGTATACAAAAAGTCTGTGATAAATCAACCAAGAATCATGTTTTCTGTGAGAGATCTATTCTACATTTATTTTCATTTCACATATTTCAATATCAACTTATTTTATGTACCTTTCAAAAGTACTTACTGTCGCCGAAACTTTGATATAAGACGAGCATTAGGTGTTCCCAAAACATTGTGTATTTTATTTATTTGATCCATTTCATTTGCTCCAGGGAATAAAGGTTTCAGCCTAACAAACAAAACGGGATAATACTCACAAATTTTAATTCATTATAAGACATTGTGACTCAAAATATTGTTAGTTCAAGAAGCCCCAAATACAGACATGAAGATTAAGAAACTATCGCATTACAAACTAATTGTAAAACTATGTAAACATGTAGGTAATAAGAAATTCCACAAATTCAAAACTCAAATTTTTTTATTACTTTTCTACTTGTTAATAAACATTTATGATCTTTGTTATATTTCAAGACACGATCTTCAATTCACCATGTGGTTAATAATGTTAATAATATTAATATATTTTTACTGTAATTGTGGTTCAATAATTTGGAGGGGAATATTTTTTCCCTTCTACAATAATTACAATTTGAATTTTAAATTTTTTTGACAACAAATTATTTTTTTTAAATGAAAGACTTTGTTGCTTTTGATCTCAAAAACTCTTTTATTCAAGCTTCCAGTACTCTATTATTTTCCTGAAACCTAATACAAAAATGCTGCATTCAGTGAATTTTAAGGTCTTAATGTGAAAATGTAATTAAAGAAAAAAGATTAATTTTTTAGTGTTTAGAAATTAGTATTTAAGAAAACATTTTTCTTGGGTATTACAATATCATAAAAAAAAGGTCTGGTTGGGAAATAATAAAAAATCAGTTTAATTATTACAAGAATGTTGCTGCTACAAAAGTTTAAATCACTCAAGAGTATTTTGTGCATCTTGGAATAATAAGATTTAAAAAAAAAAAATTGTATTTCTTTTTTGAGTCATGCTTTCTTTAAAAAGTGAAAAATTCAGTTTGTGACATGAAATGTAAAAGGAGTTTCCTGTATCTTTCTGAATATAACATACAATGACACAAACATTATTGGAAATTACTCACGTGAGCAATTCAAAGAATACACAGCCTGTTGCCCAAATATCCATCTTTGGCCCGTAATAACCAGTTGTAAGGAGGCATTCAGGTGATCGGTACCATCTTGTTGAAATATATTCTGTGTATGGTGGTTTGCAAAAAATTCCTCGAACAGACCCTAAATCTGCCAGTTTTACAATATCATTCTGGAAATAACACATATAGTATTAGTACACTTTCATCAAATGTACATGATACTACATTTTCCAAATTAATGTCAGTGAATTGTTTCTTTCTCTGGCTGAATGGACAAAACTAGCATGGTTTGAAATTACAATTATGAATGTAACTAACAGCAAATCTCAAATTCAATTGATGCAATAATTTAAAAAAACAAAAATAAGTTTAAAATGTGTTATGTATCATCATATCTCTGCATAATGATGTAAGCAAAGATCTGACTGTTTTATATGAATTTTAATAATCCAACTACACAAAAATATGTAAATGTGCAACCGTTAGGCAGAGATTACCCCTCCAGAAGTGTAATATTATTGTAAGATATTAGCAATATTATTTTAAGATGAGAAATTTATAATTTTGTAAACTAAGCTGTAAAGAAGTCACAGACACATACAATCCACAACACAGACTACTCATGCATTTATTTATTTCTTTCTTGTTGTTGTGTTGTTATTATTGTTATCGTCATCGTCAATTGGTGTGGGCATGCTGAACCAGGGCATCATAAGTCAGAAATAAGAATGTGGAGAATACACGATTTGTTACATAAAGACAGAAAACATAGTATTAGGTGAAGTCAGAAGAACTTATCCTTTGTCTCTTTTTCCTTAGATCTTATTTATCTTTCTTTCTCCTTTGTCTGCTTCTCCTTCACCTTCATATCATTAACTTCTTCCTCAGTCTCCTTTTTCTCCATATTCTTCACTCTGTTGCCAGTGTTCTTTTTTACCTTCTACCAGGGCCTCCTCCTCCTCCTTCCTCTCCTTCTTCTTCAACTACTCCCTCTCCATCTTCATTTCCGACTGTATCCTCTTCCTTCATTGATGATTCATTTCACTGATCCTTTGAAAGCCTTCCTGTCTTCTCCTTGTTCTCATTCGTCATCTTTATTTCTCTTTAGCGGTATCATAAGATAGAAATAAGAATGCGCAGGATTTGTGAAAGGCATTCAGAACAAAGTACTAAGCTACTTCGAGTTTTTTTCTTTTCTTTTCCGTTTCTTCTTCTTCTTCTTCTTCTTCTTCTTCTTCTTCTTCTTCTTCTTCTTCTTCTTCTTCTTCTTCATCATCTTGGTCCTTTTACTTTCTTGCTTACGTAGTAGAGGGAGAGTTTATGTAATGCTGCGCGAAAAAACGGCTAATGTTCGGTAGAAAACTCTTATTACAGGACCCTGGTAACGAAAAAGTGGATAAACCAAATGCTCAGTTTTGAAAAAACAATCCTCAAACACATGGTATGGCAAGAAGTAGGGCTAAATGAACGCTATAAAATTACATAAACGATATTTTGCTCTATTCCTTTCTTTTTCAAAAATTACAAAATTGTAATTTGTACTTTCTTGTATACGTACGTATACGGAGTAATATACGCAGTGTAGAGAAAGTCACGTAAGGCTACGGAAAACCGATTTCGAGATTTCAACGGAAATGCACATCTTGGGAACTAACACCGAAAAGGTGATTTTTTTAAAACGTCCGCCCGTCTGTCTGCTTACCTGTCTGTGAACAGCCAATGCCGCCTACCATATGTAGGATTTTTTCCAAAATGTATATTCCGATCTGGTTTGACTCAAGGAGCTGCGATTTTGGAAACTTTTTTTAAAATTTAGGGGTAGTTTATACGAAGTCTCTCGGACATTTTCTAAATTTTGTCAAAAACGACTCCACATTTTTTCTTTAAATTTCTTGTAAGAATACAGAAAAATACACGAGCTTCAAATTTCGAATGTGAATGTGAAATTTCGTAGTTCTTACGCTCCATTTTCTTAGAAACGGCTATAAGGTTTCAAAGAAAATAGCTATACAGGACGAGGTTTTACTGTTAATAAAATAATATTTCCGTTCTACTGTTAGGAAACCGAAAAAATAAGTATTTTTTTAAAATGTACTTTGAGCGGCGGTAGATGGCACCTGGTAAGACTATGTGGCAAGTAGGAATAGCTAGCCGAGACCAAAGGAAATAGATAACTAATACGGAAAAGTCTGTGCCATTCGGTAACACCACTAGTTAATGTATGTATTGACAATGCCATAAAGGAATGCTTCATCAAAAGAATGCATTAGTTTCTGGAGCAGGCTTAAAAAAAATGTTTGCTGACGATCAGGTTATTTACTTCTATACTTTGCAAAATATATTACAGAATTACGAGTTGCTGATATCTCCTCAGAAATCTAAGTACTGGATTTTGTGGGTAAACATCATTTGAGAAGCAAAATAGTTGTAGAAAACACAATACTTAACAAGAGTCAGAATTTAACTATCTCGGACGTAACATCTCTTATTGCAAGAAGAATGCCATCCAGAAAAATCTCAATAAATATCAGGCAATGCGTATAACAATCCAAAAAGTCTTAATAACCTACGTACGAAAGGACCCTCAAATGAAACACACAAGCTGATGGGGGTTCCTGTACTTGAATGTGGTTGCGAAAATTGTTGCTTGAATAGCTCGGATATAAGGAAAATTGAGGCTGCTGAAATGAGTTCTAAGATCAGTTGCAGCATATACTTCTAGACCACATAGAAGCGAAGACTTCAGAAGCGAACGGAAAATGTTCAACCTCAATATGAGAATCCAAGTGAGAAAAGAGAAATGGTTCCATCATATCCAACGGATGACTGGTTAGAGACTACGAAATAAACTTCTCCGCAATGCAGCCGAAGGAACTTGAGATCCAGGTAGACCTAGAAGAAGACGGAGACACGATCTTAGCAACGAAACAGGCCAATCGGCCTAGTTCTCGATGATGATGATTTAGTAACTGGACTTATCAACAAATTCGTTTCCAGGGCTCAGTAATATGAGTTTGTGGATTGAAAATTCGCATTACATAACTTTCTCTAAGTAAGCGTAAGCACTAACGAGAAAGTAAAAATTTGGTGCCGTTTTATAGAAAAAAATTGTTTAAAAAAATTAAAAACGTCCTGTATATTGCGCAAAATTACAAGAAAAGTACTCACATTTTCGAAACATTGTACGTGACCTTATTTTAAGATCTGTCTTTAAGGAACATATTCTATTACGGACAAAACCTCTATCTTCAATATTACAGTTCTAGAAGATACCTTAAAAATTGAATTTTTGCAATTTTCAAAAATCAGGGGTTTTAACGAACATGAGATCTGCATCTTTGCGCTATCCGAGGACAAAGTTTATTAAAAAAATTTGGAGCCATTTTCGTTAAGTTTTGAAAACATTTTTGAGGGCTTGTACCCTCAAAATTGAATATATTCGGTTGAAATTCCCAAAACCTCGAGTTCTTTCACACCGATGGGGGAAGTCAAATTTAGAGAAAATGAACTGAACCATTTAGCCACTAGCGTTTACCACAGACGGACCGACAGACAGTCAGGCGGTTTGCCTTCAGTACGTTATTGGGTTTCAATGATCCACAAAAAATGGATACACCATGTTACCTTACCTTACGTGTTAGATGAAGTAATATACTGTATACAGGAACAGTGTTTATTTACTTTGTTGCCAGAGCCCATTACCAGAGTTTTCTGTCGAAATTGCACCGTTTTCCGGCGCACGATTCTTCTCAAAGATTATGTGGGAGAAAGTTAAAAGTTAGTAAGAGATAACATTAAGACAACGATGGATTTTTTTCCCCAGAAAACCTTAGTTAGGAAATTGAAATGTGTATGAGAATAACATATTCACGATATTTTTACTTCATCGCACATTTCTTCTGCTTTCTTGCATTTTTATTTATATCCATCTCTGCAGCTTCAACTTTTCTCTCTCAATGCATGACCAATTGATACATTGCTTCTGATGTACTGTTATCTATATCTGAGATAGGCATTGAAGAACATTTTGTAATCTTGAATGATGACTGATGCAATAGCCTCATATACACCATTAACCCATTAACGTGCAAATTAATTTTGTGTGAATAGCGCTCACTAATTGTCGTCGCATCTGTGCCCACAGTCATTGTTGAAGCTCTCTGGTAGCATTTTTTGTAACATATAGTAATCCTTGATGTGTTGCTAAATTATATTACTAGATCGCTCCAAATCGCCAGCTACTTGTAAGAACATTTTTTCTATAAAAAGTTGGAAAACTGTTAGCAGCATACACCTCGCCAGCTTCGGTTTGGATCAACCACTCTGATTTTCACCAGTCTCTCCCTCCGACGTAACCACAGGCATTTAGCAGCTAAGCATGTTTTTACATGGAGGTTCGCCGGGACGCAAGTCATGAAAACACTCTGGCCAGGAGCGTACAATGATTCTGCGATCAATGCTAAATCGTCAGCTAACAATCTGGACTGAAAAAACTTGCTTATATGTTTCGTTTAGGAACTCTGCAAGATCTCTAAATATAACTTTTGTTTCATGTATGTCACTTAAAAATGTCGGATTTCTCTCCAGTAGCCTTTCTTTTATTTTATTTGCTTCAGCTGTCAACAAGTTCATGTGACAAGATGCTCAAGTGACAAAAGATTCAATAAAATGGCGTACACATGTGTTATTTTAATAGACCAATAACATTTTTCCCATTGTCGTAGCAACCTGATTTATGTCTCATGGAATAGATTAAGTTAAATGAAAATTTAAAAAAAAATTATTTTTTTGGTCCCAAAATCAATTCATACTTCCCTTAAAAAGCATCATGTACAATTTTTTGAAAAAACACAACAACCAATAACAACAAAAAACTAGTAGATTTCGCGTAATTCGTGCTTGAAATTAATGTAACTTGTACTTTAATTTCAATAATTACAATGTAATTATCATCGTTATTAATTATTATAACAATTATATTTATTATAATAAAATTAAGTCATTACAATGTAATTATTTACATTTTCTCAAAAAACGCTTCAAATTTTAACTTCAAATTACAGATAGAAGTAAAATAATGGCGCGGGTCTCATTTTCGTTTAACTCTCTGAATTTTCGAAAATTACAAATTTAAAAATAAAACGAGAAAGTAAATGCTGTTGTAGCACCACTAGTTAATCTCTCAAATATTGATTGTTTGCGATATATTGTAAGACTTTTATTGGATTGAGATTATCCTTTTCATTTATTTGGCGACAGTCTTTGCATTTACATTTTTTATCAATTGCTTAACACATTTTGAATTAATGCATCCAAGTATTTTGAATAATTCCCTTTTTAAATGTTGTTATTCACCATTGTACCACATCTGGAGTCTTTTTGGACCCCACGATCATTAATTTGTTAATCTTTTCCTGAATATATGCAGGAGATCTTCAGTCTTCTAAATATGCCTTCGTGCACTTATTAAGCAGGTTCCAAACGATTTCCACATATGTTACAAATTTCAGTAGAGTTATTTTTTTTCGTTTCATGGAACAAGTTTGACCTAAGGTATAGTCTTTAACTTTTTCATTCTCTTTTCAAAGATATTGTCATGAACTATGACATATTGTCATGTCATGAACTAGAGGTGCAGAATGGCACAGATTTTCCCGTAATAGTTTTCTATTTCCATTGGTCACGGCTAGATTTTCGGACTTGCCACATTCTCTTGCCAGCTGCCATCTATCGTGGCCCAAAGTACATTTTTGAAATTTCTATAATTTTTCGGCTTCCTAATAGTAGAACGGATATATTATTTTAAGAATACTAAAGAACAATAAAACCTCGCGCTAATTGAGAATGAAAATGATTGTCACTGAAAAATTTAGAGCCGTTAAAAAAACAAGACATTTAAGCACTACTGTAAATTCGAAATTAGAACCTCTTTACATAACCTCCCCTATATTTCTCCGTATATACGTACGTATACGGGAAAGAAAAATGTTTCTGATAAAGTCAACTTTTGTCTCATATTTATCTTGAAA